GAACCAGGTATCACCCACATCTTCCAGAACACCAGCAGAACTCAAATGATTGATTTGACTGAGACCACATGGCTAACAAGAGCCCAGACTGGGACCCACACACAGGGTGCCTCCCTCCAGAGCCTGTGCCTTTGGCTCCAAAGGGCCCTTCAGCAGCACTGTCTTGAATCCCATCCAAACGTGTCACTCTTCAAATGGACGTGTCCGGGACATGAGATGTGACTGCTGGTCTGCCACCTTCTTCCACTCACTGGGCTTTCTCATGTTCTAATACAGCCTTCTGCTCTTCACACAGGCAGTGTCCAACAAGCATACCTTCTGGAAGGAGGCTGACTCCCTCTCCCAACATTTGACCAAACCTTCACCTATGGCAGACTGAGATGAAGGTGACCCCAGAAGGGAATGTACAGCTCTTTCTTCCCATCTGGGATTCTGGATGGCTCCAGGCAGACAGTGCAAAGGGAGGGGAAGTGCACAGCAGAGGCCAATCACTCCAGGCCCAGCAAATAAAGGTTGCTGGCGTATGCTAAGAAAGCCTGCCCACAGGGGGCACCAGGACAAAACCCCCATTCTCTGCACCCACCAATGTGTCAGGCATTCAGGGAAAGAAGCCTGAGGAGCCCTTCCAGGACAGCCAGATCCAGCAGCCAGCTCTTCTGCAGGGCACATTCCTTCGAGAGGGAACCAAGGACTCACCCATTCTCCAGGCCAGGGTCCTCAGTGGTACCCATTTCAGGTTCTTCTAGATCCAGGGCCCTCTGGCCATCAAGCTCAGGAGTAGGGGCCAGGGAGCCTGAGTCAGAGAGACCTGGCTGGATGCTAGCCCAGCCACCTGAATGCTGTGTGACGTGGCACGTCTGCTAACCTCTCAGAGCCTCTGGGATTCATCTGTAAAATGGGAAGGCTTATCATGCCCACTTCTAAGTGTACCAAAAGGGAGAATACAAGGAGAGGGCCTAACCCAAAGGCAGGAACACAACACATACTCAATAAATGGTGGTCTCAGACTCCCATGCAGATGGTCTGCCTCTGGAGCTGTGAGCCAAAAGGTACCCACTGGTCCCACCAGTCACCATCACAGGAAATTATGCCCAAGGCCAAGTCACCATCCAGGTCAGCGTTCATAGCAGCCAGGTTAGGCCTCAATCATGGTCTGTAGGGCAGGGAGCAGGGGCTGCCTCCTTGACCCCAGGATAAATCCTCACAAAGCCTGAGGGTCCAGGCCAAGCACTTTTCCTTAAAATTAAACAAGAGCTCTCAGTAGGGCACACTTGGACCAAGCAGTGAACTAGAAGGTTACTGTTAACAGCAGTCTCTCCACAAAGTCTTTCTCACATAAACCCCCTGAGAATGCAGCCTTGAGTTCTCTGGCTCTGCCTGCCCCAGGGGTAGGGAGGCGTTGGCGTGAGTCCTCAGGGACAGGAGCCTGCAGTTGGCAAGGGAGGCGCTGCAGTGAAGAGGGAGGCCCCTGCCCTCCAGAACAGAGTGGACCCGTGAGGTCCAGCAGCCACATTACATCTCCACGTGTTTGATTTAAGGCCTTCAGTTTCTGTTTGTGTCCTCTGCCCAGTTACATAACTCCACTCGCCTGCCTGCCGCTGAGCTGTCTGCACACACTCCTGCTCTCCAGCCACTGTGTTACCAGGACACTTCAATGTCACCCATGGGTTCAACATAACAAAACAAAACCCTCAGAACCCCTTTCCGCAAGAGCACCCTGAGGCCTTCATTTCCTCACTGCTGGTCACAGGAGAACGCAAGGACCTCCCCAGAATGACTACCCCATGGAATTCAAATGCTTCCTGCCCCAAAGTGCTTAAAAAGACAAGACCCCTCTCTCTCCACACCTCAGGCCGTGGCCACTTTGTGACCACAAAGATGGCCGCCTGCCACGGATGCGGTGCCACACATGTCCCTACCTTCCATGTAGGCCTCAATCTTCCGGATGAGCTCGTAGGACTTGGAGCGGTCAAGCAGGGTTCTGATGGCAGGCAGCGGGTCCAGGACGATGGTCTCAGGGTGGGCATCGATGTACTCCTGAAAGGGAAGCAGGCTGCTCTGGTTAGAGCGGGGGAAAGGCCAGGTAGCATTTCACCCCTTGTGCCCTCTGTACATCCATCCCGTCCTACCCTCCAGCCCTGGCTCTGGTGGAAGGTGGTGCATTCCAGCACTGGGGCATTGCAAGCAGTCACCCTGAGATCTGAGAGAGAGGCCTGACCAGGCCAAACTCAGAAATAGAGCGCCACGCGGAAGACAGCGAGGAAACCTCAACCAGGCTCAGGGCAGGCCGCCTGACTCCGGACAAAACCTCACCCGGAAGCAGATCCACTCCAGGCGCTGGCTCCTCTGGGAGTGGCGGCCCCGTGCCCACACTGATAGGGACTCTGAGGCAGGGCCGGGGGAGTGGGATGAGGCCAGGAGTCATCAGACCATCTGTGGGAAGGTGTGGCGGAGAGAAACATGCCACAGGGTGGGCACCGGCCACCCAGCACTCCTCAAGTACTGCACCTCCATACCTGCTAGCTTTGGGGTAGGCACGAAGGAAATGCAAGAGAAACTGTGACAAAAACCAGTCTCTAAGGAACTTACTATCTTCTTAGGGGAATAACCCTTACATGCGGGGAAGACACTGTTGTCCAGAACAGAACTCAATAAAATAACAGGCAGAATCCCACACCACCCTGGTGGGCCAGACCAACCCGAGCTGACATAGCAAAGGAGCCCACCCTTGCTCTCAACCTCCATGATTCTAAGGACAAAACTGGAATGCTGGCGTGACGAGAGGGGGTCTCGGGGAAAAAGCTGGCCTAAAGAAGGCCTCAACCAGCTGCTGCGGGTTGAATTGTGCCCCCCAAATATACGCTCAAGTCCTAACCCTTCAGCACTTGTGAACGTGGCCTTATTGATAAGGAAACAGGGTCTCTGTGGATGGAATGGAGTTAGGACGAGGTCATGCCGCATGTGGGTGGGCCCCAATCCCCTGGCTGGATTTCTTAGGAGAGAAATCTGAACACAGACACAGGCAGGAGGCCGTGTGGAGACAGACAACTGCAGTGACGCACCTACAAGCCTAGGAGGACGGAGGGTGCCCACCCCCACCAGGACCCGGGAGAGGGGCAGGGAAGCTTCGCCCTCGGGGCCTCTGGAGGGAGCCACTGCTGATGCCCTGACTGCAGCTGTTGGCCCCCAGGGCTGGGAGATTCCCGTAGTATTAGGCCTCCCAGTTTGTGATACTTGGTTACGACAGTCCAAGGAAACGGACACACCAGCGTGATTCCTCCGCCCAGCCAGCCCCTGCCCTCCGTTCACCATTCCGCAGCCTGTCAGTGAGGCCTGCACAGCCGGGGAAACGCACCCCAGTGCTGCCGTCCTAGTGAATCTTATGGACAGAAGGAAATCGCCATTTGGAATTACTTTTCTTCAGTGAACTTATTTTGGTCCTAGTGACCACTTGTTAAGCCGAAAGCCACTTTTAACACAAAAACCAGAGACTCATATTCCCACTTCTGCTCTGAAATCGGTCTCTCCTTGGATTTCGCGGCAGAGTGTCTGGCCCTAGGCTCCTTTCCGTCTTTCGGTCTGAAGGTTTAAAGACTTCAGCGGCAGCTGGCGTAACCTAGGGGAGGCCTCGCGTTCCAGTCCTCACGCCTGTGACTGTCCTCACCCCTTAGCCATCCTCTCCCTGTACACAAGTGCGAGGACCTAGATGCGGGGCAGGAGCGTCACAGCTCCCTCCGGCCGTCAGCAAGCCACTTGGCCACCAACCTGCTGCCTGTAGACAGTGGACCAGGCACTGATGCGGGAGAGCCCACGTCTGCCACCCACACAGAGCGTGGGGACTAGCCGAAGAGTCTCCTTAAGGAAGGTTTTATGTAGAGCTGCCCTGGGGCCAAGCAGCCATGCCCAGTGCCTCTCACCTGACAGTCTCAGCCTCACCCAAGTGCCTGTACCTGATCCCTCATCTCACTTGGGGGCTCTCCATGGGCAACTACCCCTCTCGGCACCATTTCATCATCAGAGTCTGTCCTTTTAAACGCAGTCCATGCTTCCACGAGAGCAGGTCACTCATGAGGCCCTCCCCGCCGAGACTCACACATATGTATGAAATCATATTCATAGCACAACATTAATAGCTGGGTGCAGTGGCACAAGTCCATGGTCCCAGGTACTTGGGAGGCTGAGGTGGGAGGATCACTCAGGCCCAGGAGACTGAGGCTGCAGCAATGTACAATGATGCCACTGCACTCCAGCCTGAGCAACAGAGTGAGACCCTGTCTCCAAAAAAAAGAAAGAAAGAAAAAGAAATGTCAATATTAAAAGGTCATCCACTCAAGAGACTTCACATCACTGACAGTGCTCTGGGCATTATGTGGGGTGCAGCAGATACTTGGATGATCAAAAGCCTTCTCCGCTTCACCCCACCAGATCTATAGTCCTGGCCAGCAAGTTCATGTCCTCGGTTATGAGCTAAAGGCAGTTGGCTGTCCTCACTCCCCTACCCTAAACACACCAGGAAGAAGCCTGGTGTAGTGGGAAGGCTATGTGACCAGGAGTCAAGAAACCCAGGTGCCCGGTGTCATCACCTCTCAGAGTCACCGTTGGGCAAGTCACTTGGCTTCTCGGCATCTCAGTCTCCACATCTGTGACATGAAGAGTACTGCAGATGCCCTTAGGGTCTCTGTAAAGATGGCCTCTAGTTCTAAGGGTGTAAACAGACTGAGTCAATGAAGAGTGTATTTGTAAAGGTAAACCTGAAGGCTACACAGGAGAGCTGTTCTAGAACAGGACGGACCACTAGCTAGAGGCATTCCAGGTAACGGGAGGGCCACCCACGCATTTGCTGCCTTCCTTCCAAAAGGGGGCCAACAGTCGAGCACGTGCATGGGACGAGCCAATTCTCCCTCGGCAACTGAGGCTGCTTAGAACACAGACATGCTCCTTCCTCCCCTCAAAGTTCCGAGAACAGTCTCCGCTCAGTTCTGAATAAATGAGGGCGATTCTGATTCCATGTTTATGCGTTAGGACAGTGACCTTTAAAGAGAGAACTCAGATTCATTAAGACATGAAGTTAAGCCAAACTCATGAGGAAAGAGGCTGCATGAAACCAAAGGGGAAAACATCTGACAAGCAGGCGCCAACAAGCTTTTGACCGGGCATGAAAGCATCGGCATTAACAGAAGAATTCCTCCTAAACACGATCTCTTCTAGGATGGGGACAGAGAGGACAAAGAGTTTTCCCAGTCGCCTCGCTATCCACAAGTGGACTTCGTGCCAAGCTTTCCAGCTTATCTATTATACTGAAGGCCTCGTGCATTTTTCACAGGTCTCTTAGAATTACCAATCTGCTGGGCGGGTGAGCACCCTGTACCACTTTATCACCACTCAGAGGAAGAAAGGCACAGCCGTCTCCACGCCAAATGGTAAGCACATGTTCCCTCGCAGGGCCTGCTGGCTAAAGGACACCAAGAGCGCGATCCTGGAGCCAACAAGGGCAGCCTGGCTCTAGGCAGACATTCAGCCCCCGCCAGGATGAGGGCTGGAACACACCTGGGGCAGAGCATCATGGTGCCCGCCCACAGCACAAGCTCCCTCAGGCTTTTTAGAGGCCCCAAGCCCATGGAATGATGCCAACAGGGACAACCGGCCCTTTGCTAAGCTGTCACTGAGAATCTGAGCAGAATGAGATGAACGTCAGAGATACTCTTTCCTCCTCCATCCTCACAGGCAGGAAATGAGCAGGGGGTGAGACACAGGGATTTGCTCCTTCTAATGGAAAATGCTGTCAGAGTCCTGAGTTCAGATTCTGCCTCTGACGCTGACTCGTCCTGGGCAAGGTCCACTCTGAATAAAGCCTACCCGAGGTAGCTGCTGTGGGCATCATGGAGATCACGGATGCAAAAGGAGTTTGTAGACACAAAAATGAAAGGATTCTCATTACCCTGCAACACCTGGGCTCCTAGGGCCAAACCCGACACAAGGTCTCGGCTCACCCTGCCTTGCCCTGTGCAGCTGACCCCAGGGAAGCCAGCCATGCCCATGGAAGGGGGCTGTGGTTCTGGCCCATGCCCACCCTCCTGTTGATGCCAGGGTGCAACGCAACCTCCCACCTCCAACCCCACTGGCAGCCAAGGCTCCAGGCAGTGACCTTCCAGGGCATTCATTTTTCAGAGATGCAACTCGAAAAGGACTTACAGATTAAATAGGAATCTGGGATGTGTTTCAAAACAATCTGGGTTGGGGGCAGGGACAGAAGTAGGTGAGGGACGGATGAAATGAGAGTGGCTGCAGCTGCTGACGCATGAGGCTGGGAGGTGGTACCTGGGAGCACGTTGCGGCATTCTCTCTTCTCAAATATTTTTAATTTCCCATAACACAAAGTCTGGGGGGAAATGGGAGGCAGGTAACCAGATCTTCCCCTTCTACCCTGCACCCCTAGGTGTGCCAAAAATGGATTCAAACACCAACACTATCTTTCAAGAAGAAACAAGAGCCAGCTACCCAGATGGGAAACACAATGAGAGATTAAGTATAGTAAGGATAATAATAATAAATAAAAATGATCATAATCAGTAATCATTTAAAAATAAAGGCAGTGGCCACTTACCTGGGACTTGCTATATGCACACTGCTGGACAAAAGGGTTTTCAAAGGCACTGCTTCTTTCAATATAAAAACCCTATTGGGTAAAGGCCCAAACTATAAAACTTTTAGAAGAAAACACAGTCATAAATCTTCATGACCTTGGATTAAACAACAGTTTCTTAAATGTGACCCCAAAAGTGCAAGACAGAAAAAGAAACAGATGAAGTGGACACCATGGAAACTGGAAACCTCTGGAGTTCCGGCCCCCATCTGCCCTAGGCCTGTGCTCTGAGGAGAGGCTGTGCGTGGCCCGCCTGCCAGAGGCCCAGGGGCCGGACTGACCCCCTAAGCCAGCAGGGACAGCCACACGCAAAGCAAGTCCTGACAGGTCTTGTAGCACCTTCCCATATTTGGGGGTCCCCCACAGCACAGTGAGGGTGGCAGGGCTTCTCCCCATTTTTCTCAGGACCCTGAGACTCTGAGAGGTTTTGGTCAGAGACAAAGTCCCGGGCTCTGCCCTGCCCATCCTAACAGCTTGCTCCTTCCTTCACTCAGGACCTAGGGGCTGAAATTCTGCCCACTGGGCTGCATGGCCTGAGCGCCGAGCGGGCACAGGGTAACCTCCATGGCAGGGCTGGGAAGGTCCTGCTCCACACGTTGCTTAGGAAATCTCTCCTCCAGTGGGCAGGGAGGCTGGAAGGGAAGAAAAGGCCCCACACAGAGCCTGGAAACCCCTCCTCCTTGCTGGGCCTCAGCTCCCTTCTCTGTAGAGTAAGGGTTGATGGCATGAAGGGGCTGCATGCCAGGGAGCTGGAGGCCGCCAGGCCCGGTTAACTGGGCCTTCCTCATTGTGAGCCTGGGCCTCACCTGTAAATGGAGATCGTACTTCTTCCTACCTCATAGGATTTTTATTAAAAACAGCCTGATTGAGATATCATTCACACACTATGCAATTTACCCCAAAGCAAGGGTTTTTGGAATATCAACAGGGTTGTGCAAACGATCAGCTCAATTTTAGAACGTTTTCATCCTGTCAGAAGGAAATCCCATTCCCTTTCACTCTCAGCCCCAAGTCCCAGCCTCTGGCAACCACATGTCTACTTTCTATCTGGGTAGATCTGCCTATTCTGGACATTTCCTTTAGGCGAAGCCATGAGACATGTGGTCCTTCGTGACTGGCTCCTTTTGCTCACACGGTGTTTTAAAATGCATGCTTGTGTGCGGCAGTGCTTCGGTCTACTTCAAGGCGTGGGTGTAGCGTCTTTTGTTTGTCCGTTCATCACTGGATGGAATTTGGGTTGTTTCCACTTTTTGGCTGTTAGGAACAACGCCGCTGTGAACGTACGTGTATAAATTTTTGTGTGAACATACGTTTTCACTTCTCTTGGGTGTATACTTTGAAATGAAAATACAAAAGACCCCAAGGTTTGGCTCCTCAGGCATGGATGTTTTAAATCATGATCGTAACGATCCACCACAGTATACAAGTGTGGCACTTTTCTGGTTCAACACAGGCAGTTACACAAAATATTGCATTTGATTCTCAGAGCAGCGCCATGGTTTACAGAGCAAATGCCTCTGTTTTTATTCCCATTTTATAAATAAAGAAACCAAGTCTCTGAGAGGCAGTGTTGACTGGCTCAAGGTCAAACACAACCAGCTAGGGGGCTTTGCCAGGATTCAAAATCAGCCGTTTCCGTGTCAAACCCCAGACCACTGCAGTGCACCTGGTCACCTACAGAAACACGGGCTCTGTGACTGAACCGCTGTGAATCCCCACAAAGGCTAGGGAACACCTGAAAGCTGAGCACTAGTGAACTCAACATATCACAGTGGCTCGCGGTGGCTCGCGCCTGTAATCCCAGCACTTTGGGAGGCTGAGGCAGGTGGATCACCCGAGGTCAGGAGTTTGAAACCAGCCTGGCCAACATAGGAAAACCCCCTACAAAAATACAAAAATTGCCGGGCATGGTGGTGCACGCCTGTAATCCCAGCTACTGAGGAGGCTGAGGTAGGAGAATCACTTGAACACGGGAGGTTGCAGTGAGCCAAGATCGCACCACTCCACTCCAGCCTGAGTGATAAAATGAGACTCCATCTAATAATAATAATAATAATAATAGAAGGCTGGGCACGGTGGCTCATGCCGTATCACAAGGTCGGGAGTTCAAAACCAGCCAGTTCAAGACCAGCCTGGCCAACACGGTGAAACCCCATCTCTACTAGAAATACAAAAATTAGCCGGGCATGGTGGTGGGTGCCTGTAATCCCAGCTACTCAGGAGGCTAAGGCTGGAGAATCGCTTGAACCTGGGAGGCAGAGGTTGCATGAGCTGAGATTGTGCCACTGCACTCCAGCCTGGGTGACAGAGCAAGAATCTGTCTCAGGAAACAAACAAACAAACAAAACAACGGCAAGCACAGGCCTGAACGCCAGCGTGGGCCTGCCTGGAGTTTGCTTCTTGGGACTCCAGCTTTCCACGTGGAACAGACCAAGCATTAGAGGGGGCACAATTCCGTCACCTCCCCCATGGCCACAGCAGCATCGCTGGGGATGACAACAGCCTCCCGTACTGAACCCAACAGGATTCTCGAATCCTGACCACCATCTGGCTCCAGAGGGAGCTATGGGTCGGCACCAAGGCAAATGCAGCATGTCATGCCCAGAGGAAACTTCCCGGCCAACCCGAGGATCCACTGCATCAGGGCCTGTGTGTTCAGTTAACACTCGGCCACCCCATTAACACCAGTGATTCCCCCCTTGACAGAAGAACTGAAATTACTTCCTTATGGCTGTCAAAAGTACTCCTAGGGGCTTTCATGGGAAAGGAAGTGATCCTGGGCTCACTTAGCACAATCTCACTCCCCTGACTCCTCCTGAGAGCACGGCCAGGCCCAGCTGAGGGCCACAAGGCCTGGCCTTTCCACCAGCTCCTCCGTACCCAGCGCCAAGTGAAACCCTGGAAGTCTCTGGTTCCTGAAGCCTTGGCATCTTGACGGGGGTCCTGCCAAGATTCCAGGGTGAGTCATAAACATGCTCACCAAGCACAGGTCACAGACCTATACACCTTGCAGGAATGGACACATTTCCCCTCAAAACAACCCTATGTAGATCCCGTTAGCAGCTCCATTTGACAATCAAAGAAACTAGGCCCGGCCAGGTGCAGTGGCTCACGACTATAATTCCAGTACTCTGTGAGGCCAAGGCAAGTGGACTGCTTGAGTCTGAGAGTTCAGGACCAGCCTGGGCAATATAGCGAGACCCTGTATCTACAAAAAATTAAACATTAGCCAGGTGTGGTGGTGTGCACCTACTCAGGAGGCTGAGGTGGGAGAATCATTTGAGTCGGGAAGTTCGGGGCTCCAGTGAGCTGTAATCACGTCATTGCACTCAGCCTGGGTATTACAGTGAGACCCTGTCTCAAAATAAAAGAAAAAGAAAAAAGAAAACAAAGTAGGGCTCAGAGCACCTAGTGGGTGGCCAGGGCTCTCCCTGCCAGCAGTGGCCAAGACGGGGTCCGAACCCAGGGCCTCTGGCTCCACAGCCCTCCAGTCAAAGACCCAAGGCATGGAAGGCCTGGTGAAATGAAAAGCATCTCAACTCTAACTAGGGCCAGGGTTGCTCAGCAGCATTTCAGGAGAAAGGGAAGCCTTTCTCATGTTCGCTACCCAAGGCGAGGCCGCCAGCCTGACAGTCCAGGGAGGCCGGGCGTGCTCCATCTGGGGTCAGCACGAGGTAGAGCATCCAAGAAAAAATAGTAGGTCTAGTTTGCAATTTCCTTTCCCAGACGGAAAGGCACAGAAGGTCAGAACTAGCAAAACCCAGATGGATCCTTCGTCCACCCCCCATCTTTTCAGAAAGGGAAAAGGAAGTGGCAGTGAGGCCAGGGTCGCAAGGGAGCGTGGCAGAGCTGAGATTGCAGCTCCATCTCCACTGTTCCTCCCAACCCACGGTCCTCACTGGTTGCTTGTTCTCTCAAAGCCACAGCTGGACCAGAGCTCTGCATCTCTTCCCAGCCCTGAAGCAAGACGGATGTAAGCAAATGGAAGACACACACCCCTTAGGACAGTAAATACGTGACATAACTGAAGGCCACAGTCCACAGGACCTCTGTGAGGAGGGTCCGTGTGGCACAGAGGGAAAAGCGTGTCAGGGCCAGCACTGCACTTATGTACAGGAGGGCTCCCAGGGCAGCTGCTGAATGAAGGAGTGGCCCCTGCAGGGGGAGGACTAACAGATACAACAGTGTCAAGAGCAGTTGTACTTTTGAAGGCAGAAAGTGTGGTTCCGCAGAAAGCAAAGCCTCTCCATGGGAGGTCAGGTCACATGCGGATAGGGGTGGGGGCAGGGGCAGGCAGGCTAAGCAATGCTTTCTGGGAAGGACAAGTAATGAACTCTCTTGGCAGACCACTGCAACCGTGAAACTAACCCCTGCTGATTAACTTGTCATCAACCAAGGCCAGCCAAACATCCTCCAGGCAAAGCCTTCCTGGCACCTCCCAGAACACCTGCCTGTTGATTACAGCTTACAGAAAACCACATGCCACAGACAGTCCTGGGAAATCCACACTAGGCCTGGGTGCAACAGAATGTGCCAGGCGGCCAGGCTGGCAGGGGGTCGGAGTTGGAGATGCATGCAGGTAAACCTTGGAGGTGGGCTCTCAAGAGCCAAAAGAAGGTTGCAGCAGCATCCACTGTGCACTGCGACAGGACCATCAAGCCTAGTTACCCAAGGTGCCATTCACAAAGCCTACCACTGGATTGTGCAGTGTGCAACCTATGTAACAGTCCCTGACAGTCAGCCAAGGCTTCTGCCTGCCCGTCACTGTCAGATAATCTTTTTCACAGCCCAGCTGCACCTGGCTAACTTAACCCCAACACATGGGTCCTAGGGCACTGTGCCAGTTGAAACAAATGCAGAGTCAAGAAACTTGGGTTACAAGTCCGAGAACTGCCATTCACTTTATATGTGTTTCTGAAAGTCACTT